ACAGGCCTCCAACTAGACTCGGCACCGCTGATCACCACTCTCTGGGCCCTGCCATCCAGCCAGTTCCTAATCCATCTCACTGTGCACTCATCTATCCCACACTTCCGGAGCTTGCCCAGGAGGATGTTGTGAGGGATGGTGTCAAAAGCCTTGGTGAAGTCGAGATAGACGACATCCACTGCTCTCCCCTCGTCTATCCAGCAGGTCATTTCATCATAGAAGGCTATCAGGTTAGTCAGGCAAGATTTCCCCTTGGTGAATCCATGCTGACTACTCTTGAGCACCTTCTTGTCCTCCATGTGCTTGGAGACAACGGCCAGTATGAGCCGTTCCATCACTTTTCCGGGGACAGAGGTGAGGCTCACTGGCCTATAGTTGCCTGGGTCCTTGCATGGGCCTTTACTAACAGTTTAACTAAAGTCTGCAACACTGTTGCAATGAAGAAGTAGAAAAAATGAAACTGCTAGAATTAAGTGAAAATACTGTTGCCAATGACAGAGAAAAGCTTAAAAACAATTTAATAATCTCTTCCTTTCCATAACAAACCCAAAACCAAACAAATTTGAGATTTGTTCCACTCTGAATATAATTCCATGTAGCTTTAAAGCCAACAAACCAAAGTTCATCACTGGATGGTTTGTGCTAGTGAAACTGCCTTGCAGAACATGCTTACAAATCACTTGGTTTGGGGAAAGCTACAAAACTACTTTTCGGGGGACAGGGACATCTTGCCTCTTGTTAGTACTGCCACTGTGTCTAGAGAAGGGCTCCCCCTGCTACCAGGCCAGCAGCTTCAGTGACCAGAGAGCCTCGCAGCACTCTGAAGGGGCAGCGCTACCTTGGCTCTTCATGAACGGTCCTCAGAGAAAAAAAAAAAAAAAGTGGCAAACTCTGGAAAAATAATTAATTTAGGGAGGGTATAAGCTTCCCCTACCCTTTTGTCCTCTTTCTATGACTATCTTGTTCTCCAAGATACTGTCAAATTCTAATGAGACTTTAAACATCCATTTGATTTTGAGTCATGCCATTTCTTTTCTTGATTTGAAATTGTTTTTACCAGAGGATATTCTGTTAATTAGGTGCCCTAAGTCATTTGTTCACTACTGCAAGCATCCTCACATGTCAGAAGTCACAGGAGTTTTAAAAATAAGCCTGGGTATGCCAGATGTGCTAAACATTCTTTCCTGTTTACAACTAAATCCTAGACTAGGAGGGGCCTTTGAGAGCATTATTCTTAGGCATGCATGTTAAGGGAAGGCTATGTGTTCTGGTGACTCAGCTGAGGAAGATTTTGGAGAGCAACTAGAAATAAAATGTCCAGCTATTTTAGCAATTTTCTTTTTAAAATGGGTGCTGGAACCTGACATTTAAGTTATACTTAGGTATTTAGAGGACTTAAAAGTCAGCGTTGATGCAAAACACATTCTTTTACTGACTTCTCTCTTTTTTTTCAGTTCTACAGAAGGCCAAGGATTGCTAAAGGTCGGAGTCCCAAACAAACCAGAACTACACACTCTCAGCCTTCTGGGCTTTAAATGAAAATACGAGTACTGGGCCTACAAAACTAACCCCAGGGAAGGCTGTGGACTCCCCTTGACCTATGAATACAACTTAACATCACAACAAGCAGAGAAAAGAAGGCAAAAAATACCATTTGATGAGTCCATTCTGTTTGAAGGAAACATGATACAGGATGAAATCTGTGCAGTCTTGCAGCTGTAGGCACATGGCTCAACATTCGTCTACCTCAGTGTTAATGAGTGCCAAGGGAGACTTGCTGCTAGCATTGGAAATATTTGGTCATTCTGGAAATCCAGATGAATCATAACTTATTAAACTAATAACAAGAAGCATGGGTAGAAGGGTAAGAGACGGAATTTTTTTCTTAAGTTAAAAAAAATATTGAAACAAGATTTTCCAAAACTAACTTTCTAAAAAGAGAGAGTACCTGAAATGGTGTGTAAGACCCAGAACATATAGGGTACACATGCTTTCCTGGAACTTGGAGCAGTCAGCAATTCCCTGTGGCCGGTGTTCCTCACAGCACGTAGCTATTCCAAATGCGTGCCAGTGAAAGAGTCTGTATTTAGATATATGATAACTCCTCTGTACTTCCTGCTCATTTAAAAAAAGGGCTGTAACGAAAATGTGCCAGTTCAAGGCAGAGATTACAAAACTACAAGAATCTTTATTAGTCTTTAAAAGTATAATATATTTTTAATGCAATGTACATATGTGAAAGCAACTACTAATGTATAGGATGTCTTCATTTAGCTATTTTTTTCTCCTTTTCCTTCACTTTCTCTATCTTCCTCTCCTGAGTTCTGATCATTGATGACATTGCTGAAAATAGCAGCAAGAAGAGATTATCTGAAGATTGCCCAATGTTAAAATGATTGAAGTGCAGACACTTAAAGCTCTATAAGATCCTCCCACGTGTCATACTCTACACTTAGCAAGCCCTTACAAATGCAACTTCAGGTTGCATTTCTTAAACTTCAGTTCAGGATTTTTTTTTTTTTTTATAACCAGTGACTTCAAAGACAGTAAGAAGAGACCTTCAAGTGCCCTCCATGATTAATGTGGTCATCTCAGATAAAAAACAAACAAAAAACCCACAAAACCCAAAAAAAAACAACATTGAGGAAGAAGGCATGTGCTTGATGGCCAGTGCTGGGAAACTGTGGGTGTTCTGAACTTTTCCACTGTCAGAATATCTTTCCATTTCCCTGAAAGAGTCCTCAGCTCTTTAAAATTTTCATTTAATTGGACATGACAGCACACGAGGGCACCCCAACCAGATACCATGTTTGAAATGTAAAGGATCTTGAAGCTTATTAGAGCTCAGGGGCTGAGCAACAGTACATTGTGCCATTAAGCTAATTATTCTCCTGGGAGCAGGATAAAGCACAAGTGGGTACTACTAGGTCAGACACATCTGAACTGATAGAACACAAAACCACAGCTAATGCTATAGCTGGCACCACAAATAGTTTATGGCAAATGTGGGTATTCTAAAAAAACATAGTTTTGGGAAACTTTGGCACCTTGGTTTTTCATCTGTAGTGTTTCCACCAGGTTTTGCAGGCTTTCCATCTTGTTCTGTAACTTCCTAGATGTATTGTCACTAGTCTCCACAGGCTGAGAAGCTACTGCAAAAATTATTAGACAAATGTTATCACAGATGCGAAAACAAAAAACAATGAAAATACTATTGAATTATTCAAAGACTCAATCTGAAGTGAAGCTCCTAGAAAATAAAATTTCAAATGACAGAACTTCCAGTAACAAAACATACAATATGGTTATCAACATTGTTTTATACTTAGTAGTATTTCCACGTATATGGGAATGGAACCAAATTTTTTGATTGCCTGTAAATGTGTTTTGGGGAAAGGAGACAATGTTTTATATTAATAAAATAATATTTATGCCCACAACTTATAAACTGCTCTTTGCCAGCAAATCTGAAGGGATCGTACAAAGGAAAGCAGTAGCAGAATTTGCATTTTGCAGATGGAAAATTGGAGGAAAGATAGATGTTACTAAAGCCAGGAATAAAACCAGAAATTCCAGATCCTCCAAGAACCAGACCACTGCAGAATTCAACAGGTACTCTGCCTCTCTGACCTGCACAAATGAATCTGAAACATAAGGCTACAACAGCAGCGAACATCTTGGTAGCTGTCACAGTTGGGATTGCTAGATCCCCAGTGTTAAGTACAGAAATTTAAATTATTTGGAGCCATAGTTAGATTGTCGTTTGTGCCAGAATTGGCTTAGAGCTCATGGGGAGCATCTCAATTACACTGCTACCTGCAGTGCCTATGCACCTTCTGAAAGAAAGAAAATTTTCTGTTTTTTACCAAGATGGAAGAACAGCAGGACTTTTTTTTTTTTTTTCCTAATGCTATTTGGTAAGTCAGTATTGCTTGAGAAGTTCCTCTCTCACCTACTGCACCTAATCATTTTGAGGGCTTTTTGCATATTGCTGTAATAAAGCAGTCCTAAAAGCCTGGTTCACTAGCAAGCAAAATGAATCTTCAGCAACATGGATTAGCTACACATTATAAACGTACATGAACATTAAAGACAGTGCCGCAGTCATATATTGCACCAGAGCTCTTTGAACTGGAAATAGGACCACACTTGCCTATTCGGGTGTTTGTGGCTGTAGCCTCCGGAGAGTCTCCCTTCCGCACAGCTGGTGAAGGGCTAGGAGCGGCGGCAAGGTCATGCGCTGGAGCAGTCAGCAGCGAGTGCACTGGGGACCTTGGTTGGCCCCTCTCTTCCCGAGGGGCCTTCTTGGGGGAGGATGTGTAACGGGGAGCTGTTAAGAAGACGGATGCTCCACCTAGAAGACCACCAAAAGAAGCCTCGTGAGCACGCTCCCGAACACGTGTCCTGTTACCTGTGTTGATGCTGCCCATGCAACGCGTACCAAGTTGGGTGCCCTTCACTGCACCCTTCAAATGCTACATTTTTGCACCACTTGCAACAGATACTTTGTAAAGTCATTTCTGCTATTAAGCTATTTCAATAAGGGACTTAAGGAGATATACTGTATTTGGATCGCTTCCAGTTCCACTTCTATACAGCGCATTCATCTTGAAGTGCAGTCAGTGCACACTTACTTGTGGATGTGAAAGGCAGCGAAACATCCTGGGACTGAAGATCTGCAATATGCAAAGGTAAAGGATCCCTGCAAGCAAAAAGAAGTCAAAACTCACATTTGAAGTTTTGAATTTGCTAAATTTTTGCTAACACTAGTAACCTGCACAGTGAAGCTTTAATACGCAATCCACAGATCTCATACATGTATATTAAACACAGGAAATAAGTTCCGGAGCTCTTACTTAAAAAGGGATGAAAGAAACTCACAGCTTAGTCTGTAATTCCCAGGAAGGTTTTAGCATAATGAATACATTATGAAAAAGCTTAAGACTAATTAATTTTAAAAATGCCTTAGAAACTGCTTCTCAAATCAGTACTTTGAAAAGCAGGTAGTTCAGCTAACTCAAAACACTTCTCACCAGCTGATGGTATCCTGTTCCGTGCTGCTTACTGTGCCTGAGTCTCTCACTGGCATTTCCCTGCACGGAAAGACATACTGCTGTTAAAATCACAACAAAAGCCTTGTCAATAGGATTCCTATATTTTACATTTTTAATTAGTTTGTTTTTTAAGGATTTGCAGAAATGCTCCACTCCCACCTAGTAGCCCTGCTACTGTACTTGTACCTTTTGATGCACCACAATTCTTAACTAAGGCACTGGGAATAACTACAACAAAAACCCAAACAATCTTAATCACACTTTCCATGAGAGACAATCAACAAAGTCTCAGCTCTGCTTCAGCTAGCTAGAAGCATTTTTTTTCTAGCTTTCCATACACCATGTGTTTCTATTCAATTGACATCTATTCAATTATTTTCAAAATCTATTTAATAGGAAATGTATTAATTTCTAGGGCATTCAGTAACATCCTGGGGATGTCATTATCAATTTTTTCATTACAGAAAAGGTAAAGTACATTTCTGTAAAAATTATACCTTCTCATTATCCTTCTCAGTCACTTAACACTGGGAAACTGGCATAAAGAAACAGAAAGTTAGGATATTAAGGACCACAAGCCTGGTCAATGAATCTTATACTACTTGACTAATCCATCTCAGAACTTTGATCTGCAAGGAATTCCTAGTCTTTAGGAAAACAATTATTACTTTCTTCATTTTTTTTCTTTAAATGCATTTTGCCAAACATCTGCAACAAATGACACCAGTGTCATTTTACTGCATCTTCTTGACCGAAAACTGTATCATCGACGATCTGGGATGATCTGATCAACTGTATCATCTGGGATCACCTAATCACCTGGGATCAGAAAGGTGAGTTCTCACCTTTTGCAAGGATCTGAACGTGGACTGAAGGTAGTAGCACATTCTCTACTTGCACCATCTCTGCGTATACAAAAAGACATCAGAATTAGCACAACCAACAGTACTTAAGTCATAGACTTTAACAGATAACTTTATATTTTGAGGGATATTTAGGTGCAGGATTCTCCCAACCTTGCTTAAATTTTGAATGAGAAGACTACTGGAGGAGAGATAAAATACTAGAAAAAAAATTCTCCTAAAACCTCCTTTTTTCCAATCCAATACCACATGATGAATCACACAAGCTTGCAACTACATGTAGGAAGTGACACTTTCTCTCATTAACACTATAAACGCAGAAACGCCAACAAATGAGCACTGTTGACATCCCCAAAGGATTCTATGAAGACAGGCAAAGTTTACAGGAAGGGGCAGCATATTTGTTATTTGAAAGCTAAGACAGACAGGTTTTTGAACACGAGTTCTTTTTCAGAGCTAAAATAGAAGCTTCTATAGCTTCTACCTTTATATTCTTAAAAAAGTGCATGTTAATAACAGATCTTTGTGATTCACTATGAGTAAGCAAAAAAAAAAAAGAAACAGTAACAAGAAAACAACACACCAATATTAGCAATCTGGGAGTGATATAGTCTCACCAGTATACGAGAGAAAAGTCACGTTTGAAATAAGACTACTACTGGAAGCCCTTGAATTACATTTTCCAATCACAAAGTATCTTTTATGTCCTGTGTTGGAAAAATCAGAATTTGTGCTGTACAGATTTTTCAACCTCATTCCATTGACATTATAATTTATATGATAAGCAACTTCTTATCTGCTTTCAAAATAAGAAAAGGGATATTTAAATAACAAAGAAAAAGATAGCAGTTGAGAATTAAAAAAAAGAAAAAGAATAAAGATAGATGGTGTAGTCACTCACTTTCTATTTCCCTGCCACCTAAAGCATTTGATGAACCAGGCAAGCAACAGGAGCTGACAAAGTCCTTAGATATCTCAAGTTTATTCCTAAACCCAGGTTTCTGACAGAAAAACACCCTTTACTGCTTGTGAAGTGCATAAGTGGCCAGACATTAGCTTCAGAGCACTGCAAGTACATGGCACACCACAGAATTCCTCTTACACCGTGTTCCTCACGGTTGCTACAGGTGATGTTCTCGCACCATCACTGTCGTTCTTGCTAAGAGCCACAGAGGGGATCTCACTGTCTGAGCTTAATTCTTGAAGAATCTTCTTTAAATCTCGAAGCGGTTCCTCCTTCAAAATGCTTAATTTGGGTGGCATCTGAAATAAAATCCTTCTGTTATAAAATACTTTTATAATGGCATTCTATTTTTTAGTACCTATATATATTCATCCCAAGTTATGCACTTATTTTCCCTCTACTTGACAAAATTTGGAAACTGGTAATTTTCTTGTAATTCTAGCTGAAAGTTAGTGGAGCTAAGATAATGCTGACTTTTATTATACAAAAACCATACAGGAAAAAAAGATGTATTTTTGCAAGAGAGAATCAAGATAATGCTTTCTGTGATGAACAATCAGAACAGCACTAGCATCTAATTAAAGCTAAATGTAGATACACAAAAACAAAAGGAAGGTGATATGTCTAGTATTAGGACAAAACTGGTCTTAATCTGTAAAAGTGAACTTGAACTCAAATATTGAAATAAGCAAAGTTATTACAGGTGAACTGCCTGTATGAGCACAATGAAGCTGATCAGATACTACACACATGTCTGTTTTCACCACCACCAAAGCAAAGTCATTTACACCAGGTAAACTACTAGCAGAAAAAATAATAAATAAATAAATAAATAAATAAAAAGTAGTGATGAGTCCGTAACATGAGAGAAATACAGGAAAGGATCTAATCTTCATTGGTCGGAATCATCCCACCTGCTCTCCCATTTAGAAATTCCGTGCGTTTTTCCGCGCGCTGCCGGGTGGCCAGCTCGGGGCAGTACTCACGTGAGGAACGCCGCTGGCCGGGGGCAGGCGAGGCGGCCCGCTCGCAGCGTGCTGCTGGGGCAGCGGGAGCACAGGTCGCTGCCTGCCTGGAGCAGGGGCTGAGGAGTAGCCCAGGCCCTGGAGCTCCTGTCGAAGAACATGAGTCACAGGCCAAGCAGGAAAACGGGATATGGGGAGCAAGGCCTCTGCAACAGGGCCTCTCTTTTGGTTTCATGTTATGATATCTAGCATTCAATTCTCAAAACACTCTAATATTTACTACACGTCCTCAGACATAACCTTTCCAAGTCCTTTTGGGACCGAAGTGGATGCAATAGTGGTTGTTTCATTTATTTTCAGGTACTCATTGTATGCTCTGGATCCGTGCAAGCAAGTCTCAGCCTCGTTACAAAACTGAACTGTCCCATGCGTCTTACGTGTGCTTTTCCCACTGAGGTGAGAATTACTTTCATTAGGATGAGATTCTTCATCTTTGTCATGGCTCATGACCTTCCTTTCGCATCACTTATCTAACTCTGTATTTTGAATATAACATTTTCATTTCCCAATTAAAACTAAAAGTTTTGCCTCTCCAAGGCACCTGCTGACCATATTTACTTTCTGCTTGCTAATATCTCGATCTGCCTCTTAAAAATGTATGATTTTTTTCACTAAAAAATAACTACTTCACATCATCAAGACCAAATTCCATTGCTCCCAGCCTGCTCATAGCTTGAAGGTTGTTGCTTCTATTTCAGGCCTAGAGCAAGATGTGCATGCTCCAAAGCTTGTTAGCACTTTCCAATATCTACAGTTGATCTAATAAAAGGCATCAGCCATGCCTATAGACCTTGTCCCTATACTTCATTTTTTCTAATAACCTTATACATATCTCTAGCTCTAATTTGCCTGAAATTCAAGAAAAAGCTGAAATGTCACTGAAAGACTTTAGTAGCTAGAGCTTGTAATCAAATATTCATATAACTTTTTTTTTTTTGATGCCCCTCTAATATACAGTACTTCAGAATAATTGTAATTATGGACAATACATTGTGCAGTAAGGAACTATCCCACATTAATAGAGGTTTTTGAATACAGATTTTTGAGAGCACCTTGCAATAAATGAGGTTATTCCTGAAATAAGGACAGAAAGTGAACGCATCTACTTTACATTTATACTTATTCATAAAGTACTTACTTTCACATCTAAAGCATGCTGCAACCTGAAGCGCATTGCTTCTTGCTCCTGGCACTGGATTATGCACTGACACTCTGAAAACTGCATGGATGCCTGCAAGAGAGGAAACATCAGGCCTAAATTAAGCTTACCATAATTTTACTATATTTTTTTGTGAACGTCATTCACTTGTGTTCTCCAACTGACACAGAAAAAAGGCACACATACAGCTATATATATATTTTAATCTATTACTAGCAGTATGGAAAGTGGTTTCTAGAAACATAAGATGGTCAGATGCCTTCCTTGATAGGGTTACATGGGCAGACTTGTTATATGATCCCAGGAGCAATTGGGATCTCCTTAACACTACAACACCCCAGAAGGGTGTTAATCCTGTCCTAGACCTACTGAACACTTTCAGGATTAGACAATTCAAATGTTTTAATAAAACTAAAGCCTACTCAAGGTTTTAAAGTGTTTATTTGGTTAATTTGTTGATGCTTCTCATTTTCCACTTTACTTTCAAATACTATTCTATTCTTTAAAACCATATACTCCAAAAAGATGTAGCAACATCTAATAATGTAAGTATTTTTCACATCAATTAGAACAGAGGAAAGCTTTAAGTGAAAGCAGTAAAGTGCACACAAAAAGTACGCTCTTAGGGAATCAGTCTGCTTTTATTAGTCTAAAAGAATTTAATCTTCAGTGTTAAAATAAAATATGACTTTTTGTGCTCGAGTCCCAGTGATGCAAGTGTCAGCTCACCGGTGCACTGTGCGTATGGTTACAAGCAGCAGCTTCTTGAACACTTAACATACATTTTACCCAAATTTATATTCCCTTTAGCTCGTAAGAGGTAAATCAAGGATTCTCATAAAGATAACAGAAGTATTTTACCATAAAATCCTTAGAAGAGTCTTAATCACAATTTTTTTTAGGTGTGCAGCTTGCAATACATGTGAACAGAACATAGCAGCTACAACCTGGATAAGAGGTCAGACTTCTCCTCCTAAGAAACTGTGGTAAAGCTCCCCACTCTCCTACTGAACTCAAAGCTACCTTGTCAAGGGCTGTCTCCATCTTGGATATTTTTTCTTTCAGACGTTTGTCTTGTGACCTCAGGATCTCCAGTTCCCCAGTCATCTTGGTATTTTCTGTGGCAATATAGCTCAATTCTTGGCTTAGTTTATTATTTTCTTCTTTGAGATAATTTTTTTCCTGAAGTTAAGGAGATGAAAGACAGTGTGAGACAAAAATTTGTAGCTAACAATGTTACACTTTTCTTGAGATTTTTCATTTTTTCAAAATTTTGAATGATTCACTCCAGAAGCTTGGCTATTATATTTTGCAGAAACACAAGGGGTTTGTTTTGTTTTTCTTTACCCCATAAGAAGATGAGATCTTATAAAGAACAATGTAATTGGACTTTTCAATCCGTTTTCAAGCTGAAATGTTAAATTCAGGAGTATATGACCTGGTCAAAGTTAACATTGCACGTTTTCATGAGCACTTTGAGTTTAAGGTCTGAAGAATTTACTAAAAGTCCAAGTACTACTGTAAGAATATGAAGAGGTCCATTGTATACGCAAAGGTGTTCATAGTCACCAAGCACCAGTTCAAACGCATGCAAGGCACAGAAGCCAAAAATGGTAGAGAAGTTGAGGACAGGTAACAGCAAACATAAAAATAATTTTCCATCATAGAAGATGATGGACAGACTTCAACCCACATAGAGTTCACAACCAGAACCGGGAAGGTTGGAAGTAGGAACTACGACAGAACAATCTGCAAAACAGTCCTCCCTTGCAAACACCTGATTGTATTTCCACACAGACAACAATGCTTACAGAGACCATGGAACCAAGTTGTTGTACTGCATAGCTCAAATGTATTAGTTGCTAAATTAAAAAAAAAAAAATTAGTTGCCACTAGGTAAAATGAACCCTATATTAATTATATTGTAAAGCTACGTAGCTGGAAAGTTTTATATATAAAGATAATTGTGTTGAGAAAATGTGGCCTGGGACACAGTTTCAGATTTGCCAGGATTAAGAGCAGAATCTAGAGGAAATATATCTGAAGAATTTACACTGACAACATAGAATTTCCTAAAATTTCAAATACAGACTCAGATGATTAGCTGATTTCAACAGGCCTCATCTACATTAGATGAGAAATTCGCACATTGTCTCAAGTTTACCTTTTTAAAAGATCCGAGATTAAGAGCTCAAATCTCACTGACACTTGCACTGTTCTTTCAGAGAAAAAAAAATATTCAGAACTTGGTCTGTGCAAGTCTAACTTATGCCACAGAGACATTCCCTGAGCTATCATATGCTAGTAGGAAGCAAAAGGAAGGTGCCCATTACATCAAATAATACTCCCTTTAGTACTCCTGGGGCTCATTATGGCCCTACATCTCTCCAAAGACCAATTTCTCTTCATCTAGTTAAATACTTTTACTTGGAGCTCTTGTGACCTTAGCTGCATTTGTCATTGCCTCTTCCAAGAATTTAATCTTGCTCTGTAATGCATCTATCTGTCCTCTCTTGGCTGTGATTTGCTTCTGCATTCCCATTGCAACTTTCATAGCTGTAAAAGAACAAGGTTCGCAACTGTTAATTCTGAATAAGCAAGACCGATTATGCATTCTGAGCTCTGATAAAAGACTCTGGAAGCCAGTTTACCAACGATATGCTAAGGCAGATACACTGAACCAGCACCCTACTGTCACTCACACCAGCAAATCACTGACTAGGCTCAGCAGAAGTTTTTTAAAGGTGGTGATACCAGGCCCATAACACACACAAGACAAGGGAAGAGTCCCTTGGAGCCTTTAAAGATCTGACAAGAAAATTCAGCTCATGGTCTAAATTTTACAGTATGTAGTAAATGGTAAAATATGTTTGCATGTGCAACTTTATTTTATTACACAGAATATTTAGAATACTTGGAACACCACTGAGATAACTTCTACTTACAAATTTTATCAATACTTACAAAAAATCTCTTGGGAAAAAGACAAAAAGGTGGGAAGATCCCACCTTAATTACCATGGCCATCAGATCCTTCCATAGTCTTTAGAGCCGCTCTGGTCTGATCCAGCTCAGCTTTGGCTGATTTTAACTGCATTTTCAGTTTCTTTGCATTATTTTCCATCTCTTCAGTTTTACCTCGAAAATTTTTCTTTAAATCTTCATATTCCTCTGAGCGTAAATTAAGACAGAAATCACATTGGACAAAGGTTGTCATTCTTGCAGACAAACATTACTGACCTGTTTCCTACTTCTTTAAAGGAATATTAGATGTGCAAATAGCTAAGACCTAAAGCAAGTAACAACCATTGCTAACAAATATAGAAGCTGTAGCTCAGTGCTTTGCATGTCAGCAGAAGCTTCTGTTTCACTAGAAAAAAAACACGTGCTCTTCAATTGCTCCGCAAAGCAACAGTTGAACAAGGTGAGAGAAATCCTTATTTCTTATTCCCCACTGCTATAACATCGTGAAATGTAAAGTTACTGATGAGGGCAGCATTTTGTCTTCTTTGTACGGGCCATTGTGCTGTACCAACAGCTTGGTCCTCTTTGCTCCATGGCCATTTGCTGTGATAAGCCTTTTTAACCTCACATCTGATCAGCACCATAAAAACCTAAGAGTCAGGTCCGAGGTCAAGATCCCAGGTCAGGGTTAAGGTCCTGGGTCCCGCTTCAACCTAAACTTATGTTATCCGTTTCTTATAAAACTTAATAAACTTAGAAGTGCTGCTGTGTAGTTAGCATGATTTTGAAGCAGATAATGCCCACAGAATATGTTACCCGAGCAGGGGGTTGCTTAGGTAACACAGGACATGGAGCAGTATCATGGGTGCAGCACAGCTGTAATAGAGAAACTCCATGAATTTTGGTGAGCTCTCAGGTACAGGCCCTCATTTTACCTTGAGCTTTTGTTTTTACTATTATTTTGCTCCACTTATATCTGCCATGTGTTAATTGTGAAAGTGATGGTTCGAGGTAAGGCATAAGCATTTAAATAATGATCAGATGCAAACAAAACAGGAAAAAAAAGTCAAGTTCCTCTAATTTGAGAACAATCAGGGACCTGCTAGCGTCCTCAAAAAACCCTTACGTAAAACAGTTAAGTTCATATTGTTTGATTTATTAGACATACTTCTTTGGGCCCTAAAGTCATTCAAGCAATTACTATTTTTGCACAGGGTGGAGACAGACTGCCAGAAAGATTGCATCTTTGTCATTCTGTGCCAGAATCCCCAACCATGACTTAGCTCTCCAAAGCAATCTGACCATCACACGCTGTCAGGAAACCTTCTAAAGTACCAGCAGCCATATTTGGATTCAGCAAGCAGGCTGCTCTTCTATTTTTAACATCAGCCTCATTTAGCAGCTATCTGAGTTAAGCTGAGCTGAGGCTACCTACCTGTAAGGCCAGCTAGCTCACTGCGACTGGCTTTCAGTTCCTTCATTAGCTGGTCTTTTTCCAGTTTCATATCTTTAACCGTGTGGAGCCTTTCAGTGCACGTGTTCACCAGCTTAACCTTTTCCAGTTCCAGCTCACTCAGCCTGGCCTCCAATTCAAGTATTCGGGCTTCTTTCTCCTCCTTTACAATCTATTTATACAAGAAAGAAGTGAGTGTATGCAGAAACACTTACATTAACAATCAAGACGTGCAGACATCATGATTACTTTAAGTTTTTTGTCAGAGAACAACTTGGGACAAGGAAGAAGAGTAAAAGAGACAAATTACTTGAACATTGTCAATCTAGGCAAAAAGGGTATAATAGAATCTGACCTGGCTTTAGAGCCCGTTTTACCTTGCCAGGTATGATTTGAGAATGATTTCCCCCTTTTTTTTGGTGGTTCACGGACTAGCATCGTTCTATCTATCCACCAACTCTTTTCATGTGACAAGGATTCAAGGTACATTTTCTGAGTTGCTTGAAAACCAGACAGTGCTAGTATATGAACTTAAACAATTGAACAGTCTTAAAGAGACATTAATACAAGAACATTTCCAGACCTTGAGTTCTTGTACTTCCAGTTTCCAGTCAGTGATTTCTTTCATAAGCTGAGACTTCTCAACTTCCATTGCTCCAGCAACTCGACTGTGCTGGCCCACCATCTGGGTCATGTTATCAATTTGCTTTTGGAAGATCCCAATAATCCTTTCTTTTTCTACCACCTGCAGTCGCAGTGTGTCGCACTCTGACTGCACGCTGTGCAAACGGTCTCCTTCATTCTTCAGGTGCTGAAGCTCCTGCATCCTGCTGTCAACCTGCGCACGTAGCTTCTTGATTTCCTTATTGGTAACGTCAACAGCTCTCTCTTTCTCCTGCAGGCAGGCTGTCAGAGTTGATACTGTTCTCTCAGCAGCCTCTAAATTTACCTGTTTGGCTTTAAGATCTTCCCTAACTTTACGGAGCATCTCTTTCGTTGAGTCCAGTTGGACAGTCAAGGAAGAGATTCTTTCAATGCTTTCATTTTTTTCCTTAATTGCAGCCACCTGAACAAAAGCAATGAAATATTAACTAAGAAAGTTTATTTCTGTTTTCAGAATTTCCTTTGCTCTCCTCATTTTCTCTTCTTACCCTTGAACACCTAACAGTCTCACAGGAAAATTAACCTTGCATAGTCACATCTATAATGAAGGTATGATTCTTCTGTTTTTCCTTCCTGTTTCCCTGCTTATTTAAGTACTCGTTGCAAAATATATATATTTTGAACAACAGAAAATCAAAGAAAACTGTAGAAGATGCAGAGTAGAACAAGGCCAGCAGTTTCGTGAATAATAAGGGAATCAGTATAACTTGATCTCTTCTCAAAATGCCAAGTAGCTAGTGGAACTGCTAGCGGTTACTTAAGCATAGCTCATTTTTGAGGGGCTGGGGTCTTGCAGAAACCTCCATGATTGAACTACTCGATGTCTAGGAGTCTACTGTGTCAGCAGTAGTTCTTCCTCACAAAGAATTGCCTTCAGCTTAGAGTCTGGGTTATAGACATGAATATCATTATAGTCTCACCAAGCACTGCATCAAGTAGGGCAAGAATGCAGGCCTTTAGTTTACTCATTCTTACAGAAGTGCTCACTACTGAAAATAATGCCTTGAGCACTTTTGTTGCTTCGGGCAGCACAAAATTTTAAAAAAAGACTTTAAAAAGGTTATTTTAGATTCTATTACAATCAAATAGTCATTTTCTCAGGTATCTTATGTCACTGATCATACACAGAAAAATAATGCTTCTACTACAACAGCAGTCAACATGGAACAAGACTGGAAGAGATAGGTTAACAGACAGAAGACACAAATGATGACTGTCCTGCATTCATATATTTGACTGGAAAACTTTGACACTTGAGCTCCAAAAGCCCAGTCACAAAAACCTGAGTTGTAGCAGCTCTAAGATACAGCCTCTATCATGACATTTTCTCTCCAGAACATAATAAAGGTGCAGTAGCTCACCAACCTGGCACTCTGTTTGTTCCTGACATTCCATCCTCATTGCCTTCACTGTGTTTTCCACATGCTTCAATTCCATGTTCTTGGTTTCCAATTCTCTCCTTAGATGGTCAATAGTGATGCTGTTGTCTCTATCCCGATCCCAAAATCTCTTGTTCTGCTCTTTTTCTAGACTTAGTTCTATCTCTTTTTTATGTAGTTCAGTCTACAAGAAATTACAGTCATCTCCCTCTTTGAATCATATATATTTCGTTCTTTTCCTTAACACTAGTAACATTCAATTACATAGTTGCATATCTAAATAGGAATTATTGCATAGATTTACACATAACAAGACAGAAATATTGGCTGAACCGGTTTTTATACCTCCTACGCATGCTGTCTTACAACAAAGCAATAGCTTTCAACTTTGTGCTTTAAATACTGCTACTATAATTATATTGAAGGAAATAACATTGCCACACAAGTCTTTGATGTCATTTATATCCCTCAAATCAGTATAAGTAGTAAAATAAAAAGGGATGATAGTGTGGCAACATTAAAGGAAAAAAAAAATAAAACACTGTAACTATACTAAGGAAAGCTTCTCAGATAAATATCCCTCCTTTACCACCATTAAGACTTATTCATTTCTTGTTTGATTTCATACAATAATTTGTGACATGTTCTCCGGACCTTAAACCTATCTCAAAGATCATAACAATTGTACATAATTAAAATTATAATTTTAATTATAAAAATTTTAATTATAAATAATTATAATTTAAAATTAGAAATGTAAATAAAATTAAAAACACTGACATGCATATTTCAGAGTTACTAATTTAAACAAAATGAATTAAAGAGAATTCTGAATAGACTTTTCTGCTATAAATAACTTTTGATATTATATCAAAATATAGTTTAGACTACAGCTAAAGCTGACAAGAATAAAATTAAAAGCTCAGAGAACTATCAAGTGAAGGCCCAGAAACAAGCAGGATCTAAAATTAATATTCCTAGCTTTCAACCTCACAAGGATTATTCTGAGTCTAAACTTCCCTACAGCTATGTGTAATCTATAGGAAAGACTGACTTCAGATATCCCTTATTATAAGAATACCATACTGAATGAAATCATTTCAGCCTCTCTTTCAGAACATCATGACACTAATCAAGTAAACAGACCTAATGAAACCACACAAACTAATCTCCCAAATTTCAGTCCTTAAAGCATGATTTTTTGTAAAGGATAGGAAGGATGATGATATTGCATGGAGCTAGCAATGAGAAAACCAACTGAGCTTGGCAAAATTTGAATACTGCACATTCAATCTGCAAGCATAATTTAACAGTGCTTAAAACTGTTAAGGAAGTCTTGGATATGTCTTAAAAATATGTGTAAAAGGACCAAGGTTGCTTAAAAAAGGGATCTAAATTGTGGTTGATATGTTCAAGATGACTTGCCTACTTTAGAGTATTTTAAACCTCTGACAAAAAAATTTATTCTCATCACATGGCATTTCTAGTGGAAAGGTCCTTGGGAATATCTTCTTCACACCTAATTCCAATTTAGAAGGAAAGGTAAGTCTCAAACATAATAAAGGGGCTGCCCTACTCTTAAAACAAGCAACGTACAAGTCACAATACCAGTAGAAAGGAGAGGTTTTCAGAAGACTGATTTTTTTCAAAATTGCCATTTGATCTTACCAACAGCTGATGAAGCTGGTCATCCAGATTTCCAGATTCTTGGCTGTACTGATCCCGCTCTGTCTGAGCTTCTGCCATCTCAGAGCGAGCTAGGTGCAACTGCTTTTCAAGATCTTCTACCTAAAACAAAAGCACGAATAAAAAACAATTCGACATCTCAAGGCAATTATTTTCATATGCTCTACATCAAAAATAGGTCTGCTTCTAGACCATTTCTAGCTGTTCCATAGGTAGAGTCAGAATTGTACTGTCTTATCTCAGCGATTAAGCTTAATTTCAGAATTAACACAGGTACATGAGTACATTTGATTGTACTCTGACCTAAACCTCATCAAAAATTGCTCATCTACACTGCAAATACTAAATATTATATATCACCAGCACATCGGTGGAAAAAAAGCTTTAGAAAAAAAATTCAAGCTCCTCTGTTTACAGGATTAGTAGCTAGAAAAGCCAAAATAGTCTATGCATAAGCAAACTGCAACTTACATAGAGCCCTTAAGAAAAAACATACTAAATCCTCTGCTATTCTAGTACTATCCTAATAATCACTTTAAGATCTGCAATCTGTTCAGGTTAGCACCAAAACCTGGATATTTTCTTTCTACTTCTTTAGGACTGTTTCTTTAGCATATGGCAAAAGTAGTAAATGTCTTCCCCCTTTCCTCCTCTGCAACTTGTGCAACAATGCCAGAGGCATTGTAAGAGACATGTATGAGATGGCAGGCCAGTTTACAATGCTTTCTAATAAAGAGAAAAAAATTGATATTGCCTATCCAAACAGAATATTTAACATTCGATATTTATATTTATATTGACAAACAAGTACCAGATTTCGACTGCTAAGGTATGTTATCCACAACTCACAATGGCTTTTATTTTTCACCATTTCCCTTGAAACTTTTAGTTGGTAACTTCTAGTTTCCAACCAGAAAAGCTTTGCCTGTTGTAATAAAAATACAATTGTAAAAGTTTCATTTAAGTTTTCTCCCCTCCTCCCTAGTAATGATCCCACAAAGAAGCCTTACAGGAAATCTTTTTCACCTATCAATTTGTCTCTTACTGAATTACTGTGCTAGACTTGAGTATACTGTACTTCCTATTCAGAAAGAAGCTTATATTGATGGACCTGATTGTATATTCTTTTGTAGACACATGAAACCAACCTTTCTTGGAGCTAGTAGACTGTCAAATACAACCTGCAATCGATTCTGTAGTTTCCAATGTTCCATCTATTACATGCTAAACATTTTGAAAAGGCAGATGTGTCAGGAATACGCACTACAGTTATAATTACATATGTGATGTGCTCTTATGCAGTGCACTGCACACCCTATGTCAAAGATGCTAGGTAAACAGATCTACATGAGAAGCACAACATCTCCCTGAAAATAAAGTATGGCAGACACTAGTTTACAAATTCACAACAGTTTGGTTGTGGTGCTGTGAAAAGTTGCCTTTGGAAATCAGTATTTTGATTTCTGGATATGTGTTAACCAATGGAATTGGTAAAGGTGAAAATATCAGGAAGTGAAAAAAAGCAAGTATGAGCACAAGTACTCAAGTATGAGCACAATTTGTCTCATCCCTGTCACTCCATTCCCAAATCTTTCTGGATTGGAGCACATCAGCTCTGTCATCCTCATCAGATTGTGGCCTGAACTTTCAAACAGCAGGTAGGAGAAGGTTTCCTAAATCCTCATGATTTCTGATCTAAATTGTATTTGGATCCCTCAAGCATTCTGCATGAGTCAGCTCAACTACCAGAACTGGTAGTAGGTTTTATCCAAGCAGACTCTCTTGCTCTTTTCACTGAATTAAAAAAAAATAAATAAATAAAGGAAAGTTTCTCTGATGGGATTGTATCCATTTTTTTCCATTTCACTGCAGTAATTCCATGCACATTACCCAGAAAAAAAACTTTGTCTTCATGGAGGACTATGGCAGAAAAGACAGTTTCAGATTGTTTTCTAATTGAATAGTAAAGAAGTTTAAATATATGGATGCTCACCAGCCTGTCTGCTTTGCCTGTTATATCCAACTAATAAAAACACACCATAGATTTCAACAAATGCTATGTTTTAAGAAACTAAAAACAACTGAGCATCTCTGGGCATCTGAATGCTTCTCCAGATCTACCATAATCCCTACACTCTCACAGCTTTGCACTAGACAGTTACCAGGGAATTTTTCTTGACACTACAGCTCAGATGAAGCTATATTTATTGCCTGACAGCTTTTTGCTGTTATATTCTTCAATAGTCGAATAGAACCATATCCACTATGTGACATTCATAATGTAGAATATTTTTTAAATGTATTTCCTAAAGACATAATTTATAGCAGGCATTCAGTGCATACTGTAGAGCATTGCTGCATATGCTAGAGAAACCTTGTTCTTAAGAATACGAATTTATGGAGTTTGGGATCATGTGACTTACCTTTTAATCCAGCTAGGTTTTCTGAAGCCAAAAGCCTTGCACAAAAGCTTTCCTCATCGACCCAGAACACTTCACATATGCATATACCCAGGTTAGCTAGTACTAATCCTAACACAAGAATCCATACACACCTTGTGTTCATACATCCTCTTAGCTTCGCGTAATTCAGAACGCAGCTGAGAAACAGTAGATTCCAGCTGACTAGCTTGATGTTCATGCATTGAATTTTGGCTTCTTGTTTGTTCTCTGAGAAAGATTTTAAATTAAGAAATTAAAAACATGTAAGAAATATAGAAATTTGAAATATTTGTCGTTGTTTGGACTATTGAATATCATCACTGAAACACCCTTTTATAAATACAATCATAAAGATATCTTCTTATTGAACAGGCTTGCTCAGTTCTCACATAAACCTACATAAAGTGTTAATGCTAATGATGACTCATTAATTAATTTCTGAGATAGCTGGTTTCAAATGCACCTCAACTACTGTGTAAGCAGAAATGAGTAGCATCCTGCTATCGGCGATTCAGTCTCAACTATTCACGTCAGATATAATGCATATTGATCTCCAAATTCCATCTTACATCTGCAACAGTACAAGGCACATCCTTGTCTTTTAACTGGCAAATTAAGCTGAATTCCAAGACATGAAGTGGCTGCTAAAAATTACAGTGCTGTTTTATTCACACTCAGTTATGGGCCATGTCAGTCCAGTACCAAAATATTTATATTTCCCCACACGAAATTCACCCTTTAAAACTACCATTCATTACTATTTGTACCTGTACGCCCACAGCACAACTGTTTACCGATTCTTGTCTATTTTTCTGCTTATATTGCTGGAAATACTTTTCATATCTGAGTCTGAAACACTTAGAAAGCAAAGGCCACGGTTCAATATGGGCACCCTAATAGTGCCCACAGCCACAGTCCTCAATTTATGATTAAGAATTCATTATAATTAATTGTTGCAGTTCTGTCTGAGGAATTCAAAAGTAATCTTTTAAGGCAGCTAAAAGCAAGCACGCATTTTTCATCAAAGCTGCTAAAACTTATTTCTGTGCTGAATTTTTTTTTGACAAAAACAAAAAATTGGAATTGCACTTAACTCTGTTCCAAAGAGTGACTTTTTTACGAAAAATCACTGCAGAAGGATACTCTACACAGCAATGACATTCTTTTCCAAAAAAAAAGTTAAGCAGCAAGACAGTTTTTTTAAACTGATTTCCTATTTTAACCATATTTTTTAACCTCACTTTGCAGGTTCAGAAAATGTGTGCGCTGCAGTGGTGTGCTGCAGCAATGCAATGTTTCAGAAGGAGCACTTCAAGCTTTGTGTTTACATGGTGAAACTCCAAGTGCTGCTTCCTGAATGGAGGATGGCTGCATGCATGCCAGAAACTGTTCACAATTCAGATTTCCTGTTAAAAAAGCTGATGACAAAACAACACGGAGGGCTGAAGACAGTCTGAACCTCGACTGACTTTACTTACCCTGCTTAACTACAGCAGGCAAAAAGAACTAGTTCACAAGTGTCCTGATTCTCAGAGTTTGCTTAAAGCATGACTGTTTTCCATTTCACTAATTTAGCACAGGTTTTTTGTTTGTTTGTTTCTGTTCTTCCAATCCATAGTTCATGTAAGAACTGCTTAACAAGAACTGCTTTCTCTCAAATTAAAGTAACTCTTAATATTTTCTATACTTTCTTAACATTTTCTATGAAGAAACATACTGAATGATCTCCATCTGGCTTTGGATACTATTCGCATGGCTGCGTGCACTGTTAGCTTTTTCAGTTAATGCTGCCACCTCCTGTTCATGTTCACTTACTAGCTGCTCAATCCTGTTTTAAAAAGAAAACACTGGTTATAGTTTTAGTCATGTCAAGTATTAACTTCTCTACTGAACACACAATGATATTTTTCAGTAGTCAGAAATGAAGTGATTTTGATGTTTATTGTGAATGAAACAAAGTGTCAGGTTATTTAACCCTTTCTTCATAACTCAGCTGCATAGTTGGGGAAATAAGGACTTCTTGAAGGAAGGACAAAATTCAGATTAAAATCAACAAGAAAAAAAAAACACTGATGGAACCATCTAAATGACTCAACTACCCTCATTCTTTATCATTTAATAATGGAGATACTTTCCAAACAATTTTCAACCATCTCCCTCAATACAAGTGCTTCACGATACTAAACATTCATGACAAAGAAACATGTCAGGTAGTCATGAGGTCACACTTGGTGAGCTTGGCCTCCTCAGTGCAGATGACCAAGTAGTCTGATTTTAGAATAGGAGGTATGCGGCCCCTGACTCTCATGAAAATGTCCCATCAAGCCTTGAGTTATGACTGAAAATTGTAATGCCTTAAATGACTCTGCCACTAGACAAGATTATCTTAATACTTAATTCAGTGAATAATATCCGTGTGTACTCAGGAAAAAAATCCAGTACATGTTGGTACCTTTTTTGTCCAGATTTTTGGTAAATATTTTTTTTCAGGAAATTATTACTGGAAATGGTCAGCAGAAAGTATCACAAAGTTGTAAGCAAATAAGCACCCAAAAACAGAACAATTAAGGTCTCCAAAACAGTGATTTTGTAGCTCCACCATTGCACAACTTTTCACCATTAAAAAAATAAGAATCATGAATAAATAAATGGAGAACAGGTACCTATTTTGATGTTGCTGAAGCAGAAGATCTGTTTTGGTCTGTGAGTCTTTTTTCAGTGATTCCAATTCTTCTTCCACCTATTACAGAAAGATTAAACTGCTTTCTTCAGGACTTAGTGTTAACAGGAGCTTGCAAAGCAGTAACATACCTATTCCTTCTGCCTTAAAAAGTGAAAATTTGCAAATGTTGAATTCCACCATTAATCCAGATCTAGCTAGGACAGTGCCAAAGCCTAGCATCCCAGAATCTGCCTTCTTAACTTTCAGAGCATATTTTTTCCTCTCTATGCATGGTGTGGATTTGATCTTACCCAGAACTTGCACACTGCTTTTGAGGAGTCATGATACAGATACAGTATGCACACACTGAGGATATCTTTTTTTTTTTTTGGATGAAAAGGTGCTCTTGATTAAAATACTGGGCTTCTCAGGCAAACAATACTTATTACACATTAATAATCCAACACTAAGTTATCTCCTGGACAATACTCCTGGACAATTATGGAAGAGTTTTCTAAGAAAAAAAGGATGGTATACCTTAGCTCTGTCATCTGTCAATGGTTTGACATGATAACCACTTCTATTCGGGGGAAATTTCAGCTAAACTCCATTTTGTGGATAGCTATGAATCTTTTGCTTACACCAGTGTAAATGTGAGCTCATGGAAAGCGTTGAAAAATATATGTTTCTGTATTACAAAATATTGCAGAAGGAAGATTAAGCACATTCTCCACACACCTGAACAATCTTTTCTTTGAGGTACACCACCTCCGAGTCTAAATCCCGTAGGACCTCAGTAAAGGCTGCGCTCAGGTTGTGGATTTGGAGGCTGGCAATGTTCTCCTGCTCTTGCTCCTGCAAGGCTTTCTTGCCTGTGCTGTCTTTGTAGTCCATTAGAATGCCACGCAATTCCATGAGTACTTCCTCATGGTCATGGACCACCTTTTTCAGATGCTCCGTTTGGCTGTCAGCTTCTCTCAGCATCTCCTCCTGCAGGCAATTGGCTGTTTCCAATTCTTGAATGGTAGTTTTAAGCTGCATTTTTATGCTCTCTTGGCTGTGGGACTCCCTTTGCCTGAATTTGGAACGTGAAGAAATATTTGAAAAGATAGGACTCACAAGAGGATTTTTATACTGAATAACAGGAATAACATTATAGCTAGTAGTTTAATATTAATTTATTAAGATTTAATAAAATAGTATTTTGACAATTCAATAAGCTGCTTGCTAAACCAAGGAGCCAATCTCATTTTCTTTATTCCTGAAGGCAAGTCCCACATGAGGAGACCCGGTTTGCCTCTCTAAGCCATCTAAGCAGCACATAGCATATAGCTGGCTTGACATTCGTACCTCATATCCTCAAGTGTATCTCTTTCCAGCTGCACTTCCAAAAGTTTGGTCTGCAAATCAGAAATGGTCTGTTTTAAACTGATTTTTTGCTGTTCATGTAGCTCTGTGGTCTGGAAAGAAAAAAGTCAAACAAACAAAACGAAAGAAAAATAACTTATAAGTAGCTAAGGACCCCACAGGTATTAAAAGGTCTTTTAAAAATATTTCTTGGCTAACTAGCAAGTCAACCTGCACAGGGCTGAACTGAGTCAGTTTGGGACATCAATAGAGGAGCTGTGACAACATTATTACCTATCAACTATTTCTGCCTGCCAAATAGCACTTGGGAATCGCATCAGTCAAGAACAATGTACAACAGCCAAGAGGCTGCTCAAAATACTGCTAGGAAAACTGTTCATAGACCTAGCAACTACAAAAATGACAAAGGCTCAGCTGCACTTAGGCAGCTGCCCCAAATTTGCAACTTACTTCACTGAGCCATCTTTGCAGATCTCTGACTTTCTGAGAGTATTCTTCCTGGGTATTCGAAATGTGTTCTTTGCCAGAATAACCTCTGTTTTTTTTCATGGAATCAATGTCCCTTTCATATTTTGAATAGAAAACAGATTTGGAGGGGCTGCTACCAGTATCAGAAGAGACTGAGGTTTCCATCACTGTGCTGAAAATGGAGGAAGCTAAAACATTTGGATTGCAGGGAAGAGGACTAACAGCACCTGAAAGGCAGAAAAAAATAAGTGTTGAAATCGAATCATTGCAGAAGAACAGTCATCTCTTCCCAAACTGGGTATTAGTGCCACTGAGTACTGATGTCTCTCTACCTGCCTCTACGTAGGCAGGGATCATCTTTCCTAAGGACAAGTTGTTCACGCAATTTCTGTCATGCAGACTCTTGCCTTCTGATACACAGCACACTGGATACACAACCATGACCAGTGGCTGGCACAGCTAAGGCCTTTCTGCATTCCCCTGATCTTTTTCCTTGGGAACCAGCATACATATGAAATTAAGCCAAGAAAGCACACTTTTGTACAGATCCCTCTGCAGTCACCATCAATGCCTAGGCTTCATTAAATCATTGCAAAAACATCTTTTCCCATTGTGAAAAAAACATTTTTGTAACACCGGGAAGCAACTGGCTACAGATGTTCCAACTTTAATGTGAAATATTAACTTTTTAGCCACCTTTAAAAACATAACAGCCTGGAATATTAATAGTGATTTAGTCCTAAATCTCTCTGAAATCTGCTTAGTACTTGCCCATGCTAGACATGCTGCCCCTTGGTAAAGTCTCCGCATGACTAACAGAACGTGTGAGTGATTCCACTGAGAATCTGATGGATTCTTCCTCACGTTTCAGATCTTTTGTTTGTCTTTCCGGGGCCTCCCTGCAAAATGGTACATAAATGCACTTACTGAAACAGTAGGTCTAAATACAAAAGCCTATACAACTACACTGTGTCTCAAGTAGTACCTGAAGAATTTGGTGATACTGTTATATGCTATTGATTTACACCTACATTAGCATCCCAGTGACAGAGCAGTTGACTGCAGTGAAGCTGCAGCAGCTGATAACTACATAGTCCTGCAATTAGCACACCTAACAGATGCCCAAACAATAGCACTTCATCTAACAAATAAATGGTTTTATATTATGAAAACACATTTCCTTTTACAGCCGTATTTTTCTCACAGCTGGCCAGTAAATTCTCACCTTACTGACATAAAACTTTCTCTGTGAGCTTCAGAAACTGTTCGGATCCCCAGCCCCTTTGCAAATAAACTCTCAGAACTGGGAAACAGTCATTTTCAGCTTAGGAATACTTCGGAAAACTTGTATCATTAGATAAATATTTGGTTAAGCAAACCTTAATTTCCCAATGAATTAAGTCAGTACAGCTTTTTTTTTTTTCTTGAAATTGATAAGCACCAGCTCATTCCCTACAGTTTGAGCATTCTGCAAAATGATGAGAAGCAAAAGGAGCAGGGGGAATAGAAAAGAAAAAAATTTCCATAATTTGCAAACCAGATAAAATGGCCTTTTTATTGTAACTGAAGTCTTCCTGCTTAATGATTACTTTCCTGTTAGCACTTTGCTCACTATAGGAATTGAAGAATCCTCCCTTCTCTTGGGACTTTAAAGAAGTTGCTGCAAGGGACTATTTCCCCCAAAAACCTGCAATAAGGGAGTTAGGAAAAGGAGCAACTTAGATCCTCTGCTCATTCCACTGTCTAAAAGAGCAGTATTTATGCACCATGCAAACAGGCTTGCATCAGCGCTTGTCTCATAACCTTATGAAATAACAAACATAACCCATCACAAAAGAGTTACTGCTATTCAGATATTTATTTCACATTCCCATTTTAGGGATTGCCAGATGATGTGCTTAAATGATGCTCCTGGTTTAGATTGAAATGTGAGACCTCCAAGTGTCAGAGGAATAAATAAATCTCACTCATTTTTTATTTATTTATTTTAGCAGAGATAAAAAGTCACACATACAGAAAAAGCATAGGAGGAAAGCCACAAAGCTTATCTACAAAATAGTTCTAGCCCTTAAAGAACTTAGAGGGGTAACTCACAGGACAGGAAGGCTAACAAGGAACAATAATGAAGTTTAAAGGTTGTACTTGATTCTGAGTACTTTGAATGAGAACTGATACAAGACTTGTAAGTACCATTAATTTACCAGTGATCATCATAATCTTTTGGAGAGGCATTATTCCCTACATTGACTTATTTATTGCTGAAACTGGGGAAGGCTTCTTCAAGTAAGGATGATAAAATAATAATTTAAAGCCAATTCAACATAT